AGGTTTCCGAGTGTGTTCATGGGAATGTTTGACCATTCTTCTAGAAGTGCATTTGAGGTCAGACACAGATGTTGGACGAGAAGGCCTGGCTTGCAGTATCCGACCTAATTCATCCTAAAGGTGTTCTATCGGGTTGAGGTCAGGACTCTGTGCAGGCCAGTCAAGTTCTCCACACCAAACTCACTCATCCATGTCTTTATGGACCTTGCTTTGTGCATTGGTGCGCAGTCATGTTGAAACAGGAAGGGGCCATCCCCAAACTGTTTCCACAAAGTAGGGAGCATGAAATTGTCCAACATGTCTTGGTATGCTGAAGCATTAACAGTTCCTATCACTGGAACTATTAATTACCAAGCCCAACCTCTGAAAAACAATCCCACACCATAATCCCCCCTCTCCACCAAACTTTACACTTGGCAAAATGCAGTCAGGCAAGTACCGTTCTCCTGGCAACCGCCAAACTCAGACTCGTCCATCGGATTGCCAGACAGAGAAGCGTGATTCGTCACTCCACACACGTCTCCACTGCTCTAGTGTGCATTGGCGCCGTGCTTTACACCACTGCATCCGACGCTTTGCATTGCACTTGCCCGAGGCACTTGTTTGAGCTAGACAGAATGATCAGATCTTCCTCCAACCACTTTAAACTTAAATTTGCGTCTCCTAATCCTAATCTACCAATAATGAAATATGACACGCAGTCAATGCCTGCAGCCAATGTAAACGTAGCATAAGTTATTTTAATGGTGGGGTCTTGCATTGTGAAATACTAAGTTAATCAAACAAATACACGCTTATAAGGCGTTTCACAAAGGCAATTTTCCCCACCAGCCTTAAACACAAAATCTGCAAATTCAGTCTCAGATCCGTGCAGAGATGCTGGGGTCGTCTGGCAGGAAGGATAGGTAGAGTTGCGTATCGTCTGCGTAGCAGTGGTAAGAGGAGCCGTGCAAGCGAATGACTGGCCCTAGAGGGGGTGGTGTAAATTGAGAAGAGAAGGGGCCCAAGCACTGAGCCTTGGGGCACCCCTGTGGAGAGGCAGTGGGGGGAGGATAATTGTCCTTGCCACAAAACATTGTATGAACGCCCCGAGAGGTAGGATTCGAACCACAGGATTGCTTTACGCGAGATGCCCATTGCTGAGAGAGCGGATAGCAGGATCATGTGATTGACTGTGTCAAAGGAAGCTGATTGGTGAAGCAGGATAAGAACCGAGGATTAGGTTGCAGCTTTAGCTGACCTTAGGGCTTCTGTTACAGACAGAAGAGCCGTTTCAGTAGAGTGGGCACTCTTAAAACCCGGGTACCCTGTAAATGTGCCAGTGTATCCGACTCGCACTGCCCCCCCACTCCTGTACCTTATCATGAACACCACCAGTTGCTGATTGGCTGGAACAATGTTGTAGGGATCACAGTACACAACTTTCTTTGTTTTCCATTTACAGACCCAGGACTGCATAGGAAAACCGGAGAGCCAGCGAACCGTGAGGAAATATTTGCTAAATTTAACAGTGTATTGGAAAATAATCGCTTAGTATGCCTTTAGTCTAACATGTTTGTTGATAATATATTAGATTGGATTAATGTGAATCTGCAAACTAAAGCTGGGAAATAATTGTATTGATTTAAAAAGTGTTATAATTCCCTCAGATGTAGTGAACATTATGTTGAACATGAAAATGAGTCATTTCCTGGAATCAGTTGTAACGGAAATTTAATTACCTTGAGCTGAGCCTAGCTTTATTACTTTCTTTCCCCACAGCGTTTGTGGACGAAGAATCAGTGGTGCCGTTGTGGTTTCTCTGTAAAAGGTGTTGCTCCTCCTCACCTCCTGTCTGCACAAGGTTATTCCCAAATATGCTTTTAAGAAAACATTTTTTTTACAAAAATTCAAACTGATGCTGGTTCAATTTAATGGGTAATGCTATATTTTTGACCATCTCACATGAACCCTCAGATAGTATCAGAGCCTTACAGAGCAGGGACATGTATGTAGTTTAAGAAGATGGGTTATACTAGTTATCTACCTTCAGTCGGATGTAAAGTGTCGGGTTTTTTGCTCCAGTGAGCCTGAGGCTCCTGTAGATCTCCTCTGATGTCAGCGTCTTTACTTCGAGTGGCTGGAGCCTCCTGCTCTTGCTGGTCCTGAAGACCTCAAAAGGTTTGTTGTCTCCTGCCAGCTGAGGGAAGGTGGACCTCAGGAAATCCAGGAAGTCCACCTCCTGTAGGCCCCGAGGACACCGCAGCACCTGAACCGGACATTTTTGAAACACTGAAACAGACAAAAATTCACCAGGAGTTCCACATTACTTCTTAACAACCTCCGTCCAACACAAATCCAAAACTACATCTTTTATATTCACCATTGTTTGAAAGAACATCTGACTGGGAATCCTCCAGTATGCAGACTCTGAGGAGGTGGTGATTAGGCTTTCCAAAAAGGCTTGGTCTGCCAGGCTTCCTCCTCGCAGACGAATCTCTGGGAGACGATAACCTTGGAGATGGTAGACAGAAGACACAATATCTGATCCTGCAATCCACTATGAACGTTGTTATTGAGATAAATATCCCCGGTCATGTCCTTGAAACTTGCACACATCATCTTCTTGTCCTCTCCCTCCCAACTGCACTCATCATCCATAACCAGGAACATCCGCTTCTTCTAGAAGTGCATTTGAGGTCAGACACAGATGTTGGACGAGAAGGCCTGGCTTGCAGTATCCGCTCTAATTCATCCCAAAGGTGTTCTATCGGGTTGAGGTCAGGACTCTGTGCAGGCCAGTCAAGTTCTCCACACCAAACTCACTCATCCATGTCTTTGGTGCGCAGTCATGTTGGAACAGGCACGACTGACCATAATGAAATATGACACACAGCCAGACCTCAATGCCTGCAGCTAACATAAATGAAACATAAAAGTTATATTAATGGCGAGGTCTTGCATTGTGAAATACTAAGTTAATCGAACAAATACACGCTAAGCTGTGCGTGACAATTTTCCCACCAGCCTCAAACGCACCAACTGCAAATTTATGGTAAATTTAAGACAATTAAAGACCTTAGATTCCCTTATTTTATTTTAAAGAGGTGGTATTGTGCTTTTTTCCCCCCTCTCCTTTATTGAGTTATATACCTTTTTGTGCATATAATAGGTTTGCAAAGTAAAAAAAAAGCCCGAAGTCCAGCCCAAAGGGAGTTCCCATCTCCCACAGAAAACAGTGCTCTGAACTGCCTGAAAACAGCTTGTTTGTAGTCCAGCCGCTTCCCTTTCATCCCAGTGACGTCACAGGGATGAAAGCAAATGCGCCTCATTATGCTCGTCTGACTCGCCCTCAAAAACACCGGAGAAAAAACAATGAGCTGCAGCACACACCACCTCTCCCTTCCAAACACTAGCTACCCTCCAGGCAGTCAATGGACATGAAGTTGTTACTGTGATGTAGAGACAGAGCTCAGTTAAAACTTTATGGATGAAAGATACATTTGTTACAGATCAATAACTCACCACTCTGAAACTCTTGCTCCAGTCTATGTTGCCATGCTGGTCGGCAACATGTACAGCTGAATCGAAGCAGTTTACCGGCTTCTCACTGACCTGCCCTTCTCTGCCTCTGATTGGCTAGTAGTCCTTAACTAGGAACTCCGCATGTGCAACTCCCAACACAAGATCATTTAGAGACAAGATGTATCACTCCATAGCTAAAACGAAGCCTTCAACACAGGGTGAAAAGAGGAGCTGCAGCAATGTGCAGTATGGCAAAAATAAGGTGTTTTTTGAAAAATTATTGTAAACCTGTTCTGGTACAACCCCTAAATAATAATAAATATTTTTAACCTAAAAAATTAGCATAATACCACCTCTTTAAGAACTTTTAAGGAGCCGCGGGAACCCTGGAAATGTGCCAGTCTATCCAACTCGCACTGCTCCCTCACTCCTGTGCCTTAGCATAAACGCCACCTGTTGCTGATTGGCTGCAACAACGTTGTGGGGATCACAGTACACCACTTTCTTTGTATTCCATTTACAGACCCAGAACTGCATAGGGAAAACAGAGAGCTAGAATTGTATTGATTTAAAAAGTGTAATAATTCCCTCAGATGTAGTGGAGCAGAGGTAGAACGTGGAGTTTCTTTCAAAGTCAAGTGCAGACAACTCAAAATGGAACAAATGTAAAGTAATTAAATAAATATACTATACTATTATACTTTCCACCACAGAATACATTTGAGGGAAACCCATATCGTGAATTAAAAAAAAAGTGACAGCCCGATCAGAGAGAAGTTACATACTTTCACACTGTAAAATGTTCTGCCGAGTATTTTTATTTTTTTAAATGTCAAACATGAAAATGAGCCACTTTTTGGAATCAGCTGTAACGGAAATTTAATTACCTTGTGCTGAGTCCAGCTTCATTACTTTCTTTCACCAGAGCATTCATGGACGAAGAATCAGAGGTGATGTCATCCTCATTTCCTGTCTGCACACGGTTATTCCCAAAATATGCTTTTAAGAAAACATTTTTTTACAAAAATTCTAACTGATGCTGGTTCAATTTAATGGGTAATGCTATATTTTTGACTATCTCACATGAACCCTCAGATAGTATCAGAGCCTTACAGAGCAGGGACATGTATGTAGTTTAAGAAGATGGGTTATACTAGTTATCTACCTTCAGTCGGATGTAAAGTGTCGGGTTTTTTGCTCCAGTGAGCCTGAGGCTCCTGTAGATCTCCTCTGATGTCAGCGTCTTTACTGCGAGTGGCTGGAGCCTCCTGCTCTTGCTGGTCCTGAAGACCTCAAAAGGTTTGTTGTCTCCTGCCAGCTGAGGGAAGGTGGATCTCAGGAAGTCCAGGAAGTCCGCCTCCTGTAGGCCCCGAGGACACCGCAGCACCTGAACCGGACATTTCTGAAACACTGAAACAAAGATTCCCCAGTTCCAGATTACCTCTTAACAACCAACACAAATTAAGTCCATCCAGAACTACATCTTTTATATTCACCATTGTTTGAAAGAACATCTGACTGCGAATCCTCCAGTACGCAGACTCTGAGGTGGTGGTGATTGGGTTTTTCTTGGGGGCTTGGTCTGCCAGGCTTCCTCCTCACAGATGAATCTCTGAGAGACGATAACCTGAGAGATGGTCTACAGAACACACTATATCCGATTATCCTGCTGTCGTCTATGAACGAAATGAGTCTGAGCTCAACAAAAACAACTTTAATCTCCTGTTTAACATCTTAAAGGACAGTGAAAAGTCTCATTTATTCCATCTCTATGTCGTGGAGCAGACCGTTTTAGCCGTATCCTGAGCCTGCACAACTGACTCCAGTCTGAATGCACAGCTCACAACATGGACTTCATCTGTAATTTCAACCTGTTCTGGGAGAATGCTTCTCTCTTCATCAGAGACAGGATCTATACCAACAGGTTCTTTCTTATTTAACCATTTTAATTCTACTTCATTCTCCAACTCACCTTTATTATAGTTTTTACTCACTAGCCCTACACCTCTGCTGCAAACACAGCGGCTTGCCCCACCTCTTTCTGTCTCTATCTGTAGGTCTGCTCTGTTGACGTAAAACTCAAATGACAGAACTTGCGATTTCCACCTGCGACTCTGTTTTCAGCCGCAGGCTTGTTAATGACGAAGCCTAATGAAACCACAACGGTATCTATCGAGTCCGTGCTTGTAAAATATATACACCGTGTCCGTGTCTTATAAAGTAAAAGACAGCATTGCACTCTGCGTTTCTCTGCAAAATGTGGGTCGCCAAATATACACCTGGGTGTCCACCACCGTAAAGCCTATTTGTGGGAAACACTGCATGTGATGTTATATCCAGTAGTTCCTTTATTCAATATCTCTTTCTGCCCTCATTGATATAGTAAACCACAAGAAGTCAGCAGTCGATCACAACCTGCTCATTGGCAGACTGGAACGGTCACGGACGTAGCCTTAAACTGGTACTACCTATTTAAGAGATGTTTCTCTGTGACTAGCATTCCCCGCATCACTGGCGCTGAAATTTTAGGGGGGTTCAGGGGTTGTGAACACAGAACTGTCTTCAATGCAAACTCTGATAACATGCCGTTGGCCTAATAAAGTCTTTACTAAATGAGTTTTATAATTTACTATGTCTACTAGCTATCCATACAACTTACAAGCTCGTCCTCTTCAGTTTATTTCTTCTCCTTCTGTGACCTCTGTCCTCTTAAAATACTGTAGGATGCTCATCTCTGTGTGACCATTTTGAGTACTTTTAAATTGTTTATGGACACGTAGCAGGTTTTTAAGGTCAAGGATGGTCACAGACATGGGCAAACAAATGGCCCTGATGTTTGTCCCACTCTCCGGCCAAAGCATTTGTTGGGCCTCTGGGTATTTAGAGACCTTTATTCCTGAGAATTTTATGCGAGTATATAACTAAATGAGCCATTAAAATACATTTTAAAAACTAGAAACTTCTCTCCAAAAGTAATCAGTTCAGCTTAGCACCAGAATAAATAAATAAGCCATGGAAAGGACTCTGTGCATATCAAATATGATTTCCTGAATAAATAACAGCTGGTGGCTGCTGTTTATGGACTTGCTATAAAACAAATAGTAACCGATGTGAAAGAAACAGGCAAATGTCCATCAGAAGAAAGCGATGCTCTGCTCCACAACAGTATACTTTTAATATATCAGACTCAATGCAGTGGTCATCTGACTTAGATGTTCGGCTACAGTGAGTAGTCTTCATTTGCTCTGCGGAGACTAAATACGCTTTTAATGGAAAGTATTTCACTTGCCGGCTTGTTAAGAGCGACGTAGGCTGCTTTCTGACTCAGCCACCAGTGCCATGGTGTGCGCTCACTTGACTTCAGTTGTATTCGAGCAATAAAGCCTTAAACTGAAATGTTATTTGCCTGATTTTCTAAACGTTTGCATCTGCCCAGCGCATTCATCTGTGATAAGCGCCGTCTCTGTACCACAAAAGGAGACATGGCACTCTTCTGCCTAACTGCGCGTACACAGTCTGATGACAGCTCATTTCGGTTAATGAAGCAAAATGCAGATTACAAACTGGTTAAGTTATTATTGGAACACGTAGCGAAATTCAAAGTAGATTACTGGCCCGTAGAAAATGCCACGTAAAGAGTAAAAGTAGGCTACAGTTTTGTAAAAGGAACGTGAAAAGGTGCCAATGACCTATTTTATTTATTTTGCAAATGTGCGTTGCTTGCCCACTCTGCTGTCTTCAGGTAGGCTATAAGTAACAGCAGCACAAAAGAAAAGTCTGTGATATTGAGGCACTTTGCTGCATCTGCCTCGAGCAAACTTCCCCCCTTAACTTTTCAGCACCACCTCTGCGTTGTGTCACGTTTTCTATACGCTACATGATTCTTGTCCATATTTCAACTGTTTAAGCATGTCTGATAGGGAGTGTGCGATTGATTGACTAGTCACTCATAGTAAACAGCCCTGGCTATGACCCAAAGCCGAAATTGCCGGAGGAAAGTGTGTGTAGGGGGGGCATGTTCCCCATGTATAACAGCTCCTACATGCATGTTCAAACCCCAAACCAATTAACTTATCAAAATAGTTGCTGTTTAATTTAATAGTTGACAACTAATAAGTCATAGATTCTAAAGCATACTTGGTTTGGCTAACTAGCATGCTAAGAGCATGTTAAGCTAACAAGCTTTATTTGAACAAAATGGTTCCAGGGAAAACAGACCAGGAGCACACAAAAGGATGCCCACAGGGGTATCCACATACTTTTGGCTAAGCTGTGATTTGTGACCTTGATTCTATTTGATAATCGGGGTCCTTCAGATCTTTTAAGCTGGCTGCTGGTTGCACTGAAAGCTGCGGCTCTTCATTGCCACCATCACCCTCTTCATCATCATCCCGCAGTTGGCCAATGCTCTCACTGTCCTCCTCACCTGGACACAGAGTCAAAAAGGTCAGAACAACATTGTCTGCATAAAAGGGACATACATAGAGTAACATTTGAATTTGCACATTGAAACCAAACGAGGAAAAAAAAAACTTCTGTTTCAACATACAGCCACAGAACAAAGTATGTGAACCCTTTGGAAATACCAGGATTTCTGCATAAATCAGTCATTAAATGTGATCTGATCTTCATCTAAGTCACAACAATAGACAACCACAGTCTGCTTAAACTTGTACCACACAAACAGCTATACGTTTTCATGTCTCACCACATAAATATTCACAATGCAGGGTGGAGAAATGCATGTGAACCTCTAGGCTAATGAGTTCTCCAAAAGTTAAGCGGAGTCAGCAGTAAGCCAACCTGCAGTCTAAGCAGACAAATTTCGAGGTGTTGGCCAGAAGCTTGAATTATTGTTGAGTTGCATGAAACTAGAAAGGGTTATAGAAGTGTTTCTAAAATCTTAGATGTTAATTTGTTCACGGTAAGAAACTGTCAATAAAAAAGGAGACAGTTCAGCACTGTTGCTACTCTCCCTAGGACTGGCCGTCCTGCAAAGCTGTGCATTAGCACAGTAAGGTTAAGAAAAATCCTAGCGTGTCAGCTGAAGACTTACAGAAATCTCTGGAACATGCCAACATCTCTAATTGATGACTCTAGGATACATAAAACACTAAATGGGGAGGACACCACGGAGGAAGCCACTGCCGTCAAACCAAAAAAAAAAAAAAAAAAGGCACAGCACACCAACACCTCATCACTACTGTAAGGTATGGTGGAGGGGGCATCACGGTTTGGGGCTGCTTCACTGCCTCAGGGCCTGGAAGGGTTGCTATTGTTGATGGAAAAAAAATGTAGTTCATCAAAAACATTTAGCACGAGAATGTAAGGCCAACTGTCCACAGTTGAAGCTGAACAGAAAATGGGTGATGCAACAGGACAACGACCCAAAGCACAGAAGTAAAACAGCATGGCTTCAGCAGAAGAAAACACGCCTTCTGGAGTGGCCCAGTCAGAGTCCTGACCTCAACCTGATTGAGATGCTGTGGCATGACCTCAAGAGAGCGATTCACACCAGACAGCCAAAGAAAACTTCTTTCATAGCCTAGCTTGAAGTAAAACTATAAGTGTTGGTAGGCTATGGCACATACATAATTCAAAATCATATCGCTGATAAATCTAGTCATGCAAACACCCTCTGGTTAATGTCACAGTAACTGTTCAGTGAACACATATTTCAGCGAAGTCACAGACGGCGAGGATCTGTCTCTCATCCATCTTTTTGTGCTGCACGTCGCATAGGGTACAGAAAATTTAAGTCAAGTCAACTTGGGCAGGGGCGTAGCGACAAGCGGGCGTTTTCCCGTGAAGCTGTTGTGCTTGTCACACGCCCGCCTGTCGCAATCCCTGCACCTCCCTTCCTACACGCTTGCCTCTTATTGAAAATGAAGTAGGAGGCGCGTAAATCGCTTCCCGTGTGAAAAGGCCTTTAGATTGGACAGGGGGGGGGGGGTGCGATGATTTCTGCCCAGAGTTCAATTTTTTCCCCAACCCTGTGTGCCCAGAGCACTCCTTCGAAAACGCAAGATAAAGCAGGCGGCCGAAACGCAAGGCGCCCTGGGTGCATAAATAGCGCGCAGTACGTTCACTGCCAACGGTGTTTTAACAGCCATTATTGAGTAGGCTACAAAAACACCTTGGTCACGCATTCACTGCATCGTACGTCACGCACCCAGTAATCTCTTGCAATACTACAAAGCCGAAGACGGCTCTGAACACACATACCACCAAAACCTCTGTCACAAATGAACATTTTTAAAGTTGCTGTGAAATGGTCTCTCCTCGGGAGTCAGGTCAGCAAAGTCTCGAGGGTTTTAAGCCACAGCTGAAGACTGTTTAAGTGTTTTTGTACATGACTTTTACTCAGTGGTATAGTACTTTTAAATACATTTTAACATTAAACCTTAAAATTTCACCGATTCTTCTATGTGACTCATTCTTAATAACGGTTTTCCCCCCTCATTTTATAACACGTTTAATAAGAAGACCCACCTGACTGCTGTGTCTGCTCCTCCTCCCCCCTCACAACAGCATCATCATGGCCTTCTGGATCTGTGATCAAGTATTCTGTTTTCAATCAGAAGTAAAAGAAACTAAGTTAAAAATAATAATTTGCCTAAAACCACTGCTACAGCCGAAATCCATCCAGGTTTTCATAACACCATACAGGACCAGGCAAAGTTTAAACGTTAATAATTTGTAATCAAAGTCAGAAGAAAGAAGTTTTTCTAATGAAGTTCCTCAACTTAAAATAAGAGTGTTTGTGACTGTAACTTAACAGCGTTACTTCTTCCTGCAATAATTGAGCCACTGACCTCTTCTCTCTAGTTTGACCCGAGGCTGCAGCACCGCCTCCAGCTGCCTCCTCTGCCGGTCGATCTCCTGCCTCAGACCCGAAGCCTCCTCCTCGTACCCGGCTACGGTTCTCTCCACAACCGCGAAGATTTCCTGCGCGGCTGTTGTCAGTTTCTCGGTGACGATTTCTCTCAGGATCTCCGATCTGGACATGATGCGGACACTGTCGAGAGTCCCCGACCCGCTGCCGTTCCTCTCCATCCAGTATAACATCTTTAACTTCTTCTCGCAGCTTTAACTTTACGCACAATAACTTTGCAGGTTTGCGCGGAAGTTGCTCTGGCTTTTGCGACCATTTATATCCGGTGGTCACACCAAATATTGACCTCATTTAGATTTTGTCTTCTGTTCACTGCATTTGCATTTTGTTAATTATATACACAGGTGCTGGTCATATAATTAGAATATCATCAAAAAGTTGATTTATTTCAGTAATTCCATTCAAAAAGTGAAACTTGAAACTCCTAAACTAATGAAAACCCCAAAATCAGTATCTCAGAAAATTTTAATATTGTGAAAAGGCTCAATATTGAAGACACCTGGTGTCACACTCTAATCAGCTAATTAACTCAAAACACCTGCAAAGGCCTTTAAATGGTCTGTCAGTCTAGTTCTGTAGGCTTCACAATCATGGGGAAGAGTACTGACTTGACAGCTGTCCAAAAGACGACCATTGACACCTTGCACAAGGAGGGCAAGACACAAAAGGTCATTGCTAAAGTTCTCTGTTCTCTGTTCACAGAGCTCTGTGTCCAAGCACATTCATAGAGAGGCGAAGGGAAGGAAAAGATGTGGTAGAAAAAGGTGTACAAGCAATAGGGCAGAGTACAATAGCAATGTAAAACAGGCAGAGTGATTATAACCGCACCATGGCTTTTGTGAGTGAAGCTTTGAACTGAATAAACTCATGTATGATGTTTGTCATGCCGATACATAAATGATAAACTTATTAATATGGTGTCTGTCTTTATGATACAATGATAGGGTCAAAGGGAACGTGGAAACAACGGGTTATGATGTGAATGTGTTGTTTGGTTTGTGACTTTAGATAATAGAGACAACATTTATTCATTTTTATTTTTCCACAGTGCTGGGCTTCAGGTGGTTTCTTCTTTTGGAGATGATTTTACCTGCTTTAAACTAAAAATGTCCTGTTTCATCACAATTTCTGATAAAATAATCTGTAGATACAATCTAATTGTGTTCAATTAAAATCTGAAATAAAACTAAAAAGTCAAGAAAATGTTAATGAGGGTCCACAGCGTCAGAAGCGTCTCGCCTGGGCTAAAGACAAAAAGGACTGGACTGCTGCTGAGTGGTCCAAAGTTATGTTCTCTGATGAAAGTACATTTTGCATTTCCTTTGAAAATCAAGGTCCCAGAGTCTGGAGGAAGAGAGGAGAGGCACAGAATCCACGTTGCTTGAAGTCCAGTGTAAAGTTTCCACAGTCAGTGATGGTTTTGGGGTGCCATGTCATCTGCTGGTGTTGGTCCACTGTGTTTTCTGAGGTCCAAGGTCAACGCAGCCGTCTACCAGGAAGTTTTAGAGCACTTCATGCTTATGAAGATGCAGATTCCATTTTCCAGCAGGACTTGGCACCTGCACACAGTGCCAAAGCTACCAGTAACTGGTTTAAGGACCATGGTATCCCTGTTCTTAATTGGCCAGCAAACTCGCCTGACCTTAACCCTATAGAAAATCTATGGGGTATTGTGAAGAGGAAGATGCGATACGCCAGACCCAACAATGCAGAAGAGCTGAAGGCCACTATCAGAGCACCCCTGGGCTCTCATAACACCTGAGCAGTGTTCAGTGAGCATATTCATACTTTTCAGTTGGCCAACATTTCTAAAAAATCCTTTTTTTGTATTGGTCTTAAGTAATATTCAAATTTTCGGAGATACTGAATTTGGGATTTTCATTAGTTGTCAGTTTTAATCATCACAATTAAATGAAATAAACATTTGAAATATATCAGTCTGTGTGTAATGAATGAATATAATATCCAAGTTTCACTTTTTGAATGGAATTACTGAAATAAATCAACTTTTTGATGATATTCTAATTATATGAGCAGCACCTGTATTAACACGTCTATTTACTCCACTTCATTTACAGGTTTAGTTATTTTCAGTTTGCAAGTCTTCATACCCTTCCTGTCCAGTGAAACCTATGTATCTCAAGATTTGGTGATTTTCAGTGTTTGTGTACTTTATTTTTAAGACTTTAAGTATAAATTGCCGATAATGCTTACAGGATTTGAATGCAGGACTTTTATAGTGGAGTATTTTAATAGTTCTCATTTTAATATAATAATATAGTTAATTTAACCATCTTTATATTGTCGGGAAATTGACAATATAAAAACACATTGGATATTATTGGTTTTGTGAGTAAAATTACAGCCCTTGAGTGAATGTAGGCTACGTAGCCTATTTATATTTATATCATTACTGCAACTCCTTATATAAATCTTCTAGTGACGGAGCATCTTTCAAAATCAAAAATATAATATTTCTGGCTTTAGATGTACATAATATTCCAATGAGACTATATTTGTTTTATGATTATTATTTTGCACTGTCCACCTTAGCTGTACTACACACTAATATACTGCGAAACTTGCACCAAGAAATGTTAATTAACAAATGAAAGTGCTTTGAGAAAGGTTTATTTGCACAATAAGATAACAGGCAACGCAATTTAAATATGGAAGAAACAAATGTGCATTATCCAAAAAATGTAACTTAAGCCTAAAATGAACAAGCAGATGATTAGGCTACTGCATTATATTCTGTTATATTTTTATATTTATGAATTGTTACCTCCCAGCTGAATTTTTCATTTTATTTCCCTTTACACAAAAAAATAATTTTCTACCATGAATTTGAGCAGAAAATGCCACCTTTCCTATTTCTTCAAATAGTGTTGGTTACGGGTCTTCTCTAGTTTCGTGCATTGTCACGTGGTCCAAGTGTATCGTCAGGCAAGGATTTCACACACCTCTAATCTGAGCCATTATATCCCCACCACTTTTCAACACAAAGTGACGCCCTACACAGGCAGACAGCAGTAACTAGAAAAGCACGTTTACTCAGGAGTCAGAGGGACTTGAGATTTCTGGAAAATGAAAAACGTCAAGAATCTAGCAGCCAGGCAAGGGCGTTACTTTGTGTTGAAAAGTGTTGGACACATAATTGCTCAGATTAGGGGTGTGACAATACATTTAACTCACGAGAAGTGAAGATGCACAATATTGGGGTTGCGACAACAAGACGAGACAATATGTTCACATTATTTTGAAGAAATATTCGATGCTGAAATATATGATCGGGGTTCATAAATTTTTGAGCATTAATCACAAAATTTCCTGCATTCTGGAGACTTTTTCCTGCAGCAATTCATGGAAAAGCTTTTATTTATATAAAAGGGAAACACAATCCAGGTGGCATGTGACAATTCAAAATATAAATATATAATGGAAGAAAATGCAGCAATCAGAAGCTTGTTTTCTTTTAGCTTCAGTTATCTTTTGGGACAATGCACATTTCTTTCTTCTATATTTAAATTGCATAGTGTGTTTTCCTGTTGTGCAAATAAACCTTTCTCAGAGCATTTTCATGTGTTAGTTAACATTTATCGTTGCAACCTCGATTTATTGGTCACTGTTAAGAACATGTTTCTCCTTCACAAACTGAGTAACCTTGGCGTAGTACTGGACAATCAAACTGTGCTGGACAGCCAACATCACCGCAGTTTTCCGATCTGGCAGAATAGCTTTCAACAAAATCCACAGAATCCGGTCCTTCCACTTGGTCCAAATCCTCCTCATATCCTGCCTCGACTACTGCATGTCGCTTCTTGCTGGACTCCCTGCCTCTGCAATACAATTTTTGAAACGTCCACAGAAAGGCGACCACATCTTGTGTTCAATCTACCAAAGTTCTCATGATCCCCTCTTCCATGACCTACACTAGCTCTCTGTAGCAGCTCGATTTAAACTAAGACTGAGAAGTGCACAGAATATTTAGACCTGTCTGTAAGACTCTACAATAAGCAGATTAATAGTAACAGGTGAGGTGTCATCATTGGATGTAAAAGTAGCATCTGCCAAAGGCTCAGTCCTTGCAAGTAAGGACTGGTGAGGAGGCCACCAAGACACCTACGACCACTGTGAAGCAGTTAAAAGCTTCAGTGGCTCAGATGGGAGATACAACAGCTGTTGGCCGGGTTCTTCACCAGGTGAAGCTGTATGGGAGAGTGGCAAAGAGAAAGCCGCTGGTGAAAAAAGCTCAGATGAAATCTCACCTGGAATTCGCCCAAAGGCATGTACTAGACTCCAAGGTCACCTGAAAGAAGGTTCTTTGGTCTGATGAGACAAATATTGAGCTTTTTGGCCATCTGACTAGATGTTATGTTTGGAGAACACCAGACACTGCACATCACCACAAACACACCATCTCCACCGTGAAGCATGGTGGTGGCAGCGTCATGCTCTGGGGATGCTTCGTAGCAGCAGGCCTTGGAAAGGTAGGCTTGTGAAGGTAGAGAGGAACATGAATGCAGAAAAATATCTCCAAATCCTGGAGGATAATCTGACTCAGTCTGCAAGAGAACTACAACTTGGGAGAAGATTTATTTTCCAGCAAGACAACGACCTCAAGCATTCAGCTAAAGCTACGCAGAAATGGTTCAAAGACAACAAGGTGAATGTTTTGGAGCGGCCAAGTCAAAGCCCAGATCTCAGTCCAATCCAGAATTTGTGGCTGGACATGAAAAGAGCTGTTCACGCTCGATCCCCGAGCAACCTGACAGCTTGAGCTGTTTTGCAAGGAAGAATGGAGAAAACTTGCAGTGTCCAGATGTGCCGGCCTGAATGAAACATTTCCACACAGACTCAGCGCTGTAATTACAGCCAAAGGTGCATCTACTAAATACTGAACTGAAGGGGGGGAATATATATGCAATCATCTTCTTTACCTTATATAATTTTAATTAATTGACATTAGTTTGTAAAAACCCGTTTTTGTTGATATTAAAGAGGGTTTATTGCAAATTCTTGTCAAAAAAGCCAAATTATATTGACCATGATTTCATGTATAAAAGCAACAAAAGGGTGAAACATCCAAGAGAGGTGAATACTTTTTATAGGCATTGTAACTTTCTGCATACATCCTTACAACAGGGAATGAGCCAAAAAAAATCCATACGTCAGTATAGAGTCATTGTCCATATTCTTGAGATCACAGGATGTCTTCTCCCCTGTGAAAAGAGGTGGGGAAAAGAAGCAGCCCAGAGACGCATCACACCAACCTTCTTTCTGGAGTTGTGGATATCTGTAACTAGTTTAGTTCCTGTATCAAAATCATCATGGGGAAATAAAACTTAACATTCTTCAGATAACACTAAACGTAGGATATCAACTAAAGTACATTTGACTCTGAACGGCAACATTGGTATCTTGTTCCCTGTATGGATTATTAATTAAGTCCAGATCTTCTGGAGGACGGATGAGAGACCAGTGAGAGTCAGAAAGTGGCCCATTGTCACATTGCTTTTATTGGTGTCCTCTCTGAGTCCTGGTTGGGGTTATCAGACCGGCAGGGTTTAAGTCATCATAAAACAGGGCAATGGTCACTGAACTTCCTTTAATGTCATCCCTTGAGTCCTGGCATGGTTTGTTTATGCCCAGAAGGAGTAAGTGGCCATTTGCAGCCTGTTAAGGAGAGGGCATCGGTTCTCTGTTGCATCATATTCATTTAGCTGACGCTTTTATCCAAAACGACTTACAATTACTATATCAGGGACACACCGGTGTCTCACAGTGGATTCGAACCCGGGGTTCCCTCACTGTTGTGTCTCCACGTGTTCATGTGGTGTCAGAGTCGCATTTCAGAAGGGTTAAGCTCCAACATCATGCAGCCCTCTGAAATGGGAAAACTTTGATGCTAGTTTTCTGTGCTGTGGACATATTTGGTCAATTCAGGTTTTCTTCTCCCTGGTGGATCTTCATGTGCGTTTTCAGACAGTGGCCCTGAGTGAAGGTTTTGTCGCAGATGGTGCACTGGTACGGTCTCTCTCCGTTGTGGGTCCTCATGTGTGCCGCCAGGTGGTCTTTGCGAGAGATCGCTTTCCCACAAACCCCACAGACAGACAGTTTGATGCCCCGGTGGCTCCTCACGTGGTTGTTCAGGTGAGTCTTGCGTTTAAAACGGCGGCCGCACTCTGAGCAGCCGTACGGCGCCTCGCCAGTGTGCACACGCATGTGCACGTTCAGATCCCCCTTGGACACGAAGCCTTTGCTACATATGCTGCAGGTGAACGGCTTCTCGTTGCTGTGCGTTCCCATGTGAGCGGTTAAACTGTGATTCGTCACAAACGTCTTGCAGCAGATGTGGCAGAGGTACGGCCGGTCTCTGGAGGTGTGGACCTTCTCGTGTGCCTTTAATGTTTTGGGGAGTTTGAAACGCTTCCCACAAACCTCACAGCCGTAACGTCTCTCCTCTGAGTGGGTCACCTTGTGGCGAGTTAAAGATCGCAGGTCAGCCAAAGATTTACCACAAATATTGCAGTGGTACTTGTCTCTACATGTGTGTGTCATGCTGTGAGCTTTGAGCTGTTTCATTAGACCAAACGCCTTCGGGCAAATATCACACTTGTGTGGTTTATCCTCCACGTGGACCCAACGGTGAGCACACAAAGTGGACAATCGACCAAAGGTTTTGTGGCAAACGTCACATTTAAACGGTCTGTCTCCTGTGTGTAGAGTGGTGTGGGAGTTGAGGCTACTGATGGTGAGGAAAGATTTCCCACAATGAGAACAGTCGTGAGTTTTATGATGATTCCCGAGATGTCCCTTTAACTCTTCCACAGATTCAAACTTCTCTCCACACACTCCACAAACAAGCTGTGATTTTTTAACGTGACTCCAGGCGTGATTGATCAAATTGCCCAGTTTCCTGTACCAAACTCCACAGACTTTACAGGGCGTTTTACTGCTCCCAATCAACTGCCCCTTCACACCAGACAAATTAGACTCTTGCTTCCTCCTCTTCTTTGGCGACTGCACCTCAGGATCTGGTTTCCAGTCTTCGTCTCCGTCAAAAGCCTCATCTCCTTTTTTGTCACACTCATCACTGGAGTCCACTTGGCTCTCAGCAGCATCTTCACCATCAGCTTCCTCTGTTTCCATGTCCTGTTGTTGTGATGTTGAGCTGCTGGACTGAACATCCACTTTGTCACCTTCCACATGTTGAACAGAGCAGCTGTGGGAAAAAATGCAAACATTACTTACAGATTACTGTAGTGTCCTGCTGTCCTCACATTAATCTGGAACAAATGCAAAACATGAAATACTCCATAAGGAATTATGACAAGGTTTCCCGTGCACAGAGGGAAGAAGATGACCGCCAGCAACACGAAGACGTAGATGTTAACAATGCTGCATTTAAAATATTTAAAAGTTAAAAAATAAATTGTCTTTCAAATGTTTATGAGGAAGGAAATGTATTTAACATGTTTATTAGACATCAACAATCTGCAGAAGTACTCCTTATGCAGAATAGCAAATTTCAGGATAAAATATTATTTGATTATCATTATTTATGCTTTAATGTGTTCATAGCTTTAGTGTTGCAGCTGGTAAAGGTGGGTAGTTAAACTGATAACAATCCATCATATTTGTTGATAATATATTGCATGATTATTCTGAATCTGTAAAGTAACAAAAGCTGTGAATTAAAAAGTATATTTGCCTCTAAGATGTAGTGGAGTAGAGGTAGAAAGTGGCAGGAAATAGTACTCAGGTGCCTCATAACTGTACCCTGGGTAAAGTAAGTGAGTAAATGTACTTAATTACTCATCACGAGGGACTGCAGAGACGATTCTACAGATTTTTTTAAATCTTTTTATCATACATGAAAATTTGTCAATTGCTGCTATCAGTTGTAACAGAAATCCAAGAAAGTAATTTTTAAATTACCTTGAGCTGAGCCTTGTTTCCCCACTCTCTATCACTACAGCGGCCGTGGACGGTGAATCAGTGGTGGTCAAAAGGTGGAGCTCCTCCTCCGTCTCCTCTCCTGTCTGCAAGAGTTTGTTCCCAAATTTAAATTTTAAAGGAAACAACTTTGCTTCTTTGCTTTTCCAAAAAAAGCAGAAGATTCAAACTGATGCTTGTTTAATTTAAAGGATAAGCATTTTTCCGTCTGGATCAAAATGGCCCACAACAGAAGCAAAACTGCCCCAAATGGCAGAAATCAAGCAATATCAAACTGACAAACAGGCCACACAGAAAGACATTCAGAAACACACAAGAATAACTGCCCCGCTTTCATCAAACAACACTTGGTTAAAAAAACTTATAGCTTTAATAACTACACTGATGATGGAGAGAAGACTCTCTCCTGTGTAAAGACATGACAGGTGATGATGATTATAATTTAAAATACCTTCAGTCGGATGTAGAGGGCTGACCTTCCTGCTCCGGTGAGCCTGATGCTCCTGTAGATCTCCACTGGTGTCAGCGTCTGTACTCTCAGAGGAATGAGCCTCCTGCTCCTGTCAGATGTGAAGAAGTCAAAATGTTTCTGAGCAGCCAGCTGAGGGAAGGTGGACCTCAGCAGGTCCAGGAAGTCCGCCTCCTGCAGGCCCCGAGGACACTGCAGCTCCTGCACCGGACATTTCTTAAACACTAAAACAGACAACCATTCATTGTGAGGTTAAGTCAATCTTTCCAAGCCTCTGTGCAGATAAGGTGTTTCAGTCAGTACTCAATCATAAAGTATTGGGTAAGTCTTTGAAATGTACCCCTTGTCGAGAGGACATTCGTCTGCGAGGCTTCCAGGATGCGGATCTTGAGATCGATGTGGTCCTGTGTGTCAATGATCCGAGGTCTGCCGGTCTTTCTCCTTTCAGACGGGCCTCTGGGGGAAAATGACCTGGAGGATGAAGATTGTTAGCAGGTTAATAACAAAATAACAGACAGTTAACTGCAGTTACACGCCTTCTGACTATCCATCGCTGCAGGAAACATATTGTACGTGTTCATGTTAAATATACATGACTTGGCCAAAAGTATGTGGACACTGGAACATTACACCAATATGTGGCTGATGAACATCTTTTTCCAAAAGCTATGTTCATTAATCTGCTGCTCTAACAGCCTCCACTCTCCTGTTTTTTTTTGGTCTTTCCAGCAGACACAGGGCATCAGTGATGTTGGTTTATTATTATATAATACCTATATTTAACTTAACTTAAAAATGCTTAAAAATCTATATTTTTTCAAGACTTTCCTGGTCAAGACAAGCAGTAGCACAATTATCAAGGTTGCAGACATAAAAACAATAAATAGTAAGTTACATGGTCATAAAATATCAAATTTTCACCACAATTTATCAATAAAAAGGATCAAATGAGTAATCAATTATAACATATACAGCCAAAAAGTAATTTAAAAGTAAAAGCAACCAGTGAAACCGGCTTCCGAAAAATCAGGACATTTTGCAGCTAATTCCAAGCAAAGGGATGAGCGTACCTAAACACACCTTTTAAAATGAATTAAAACACCAAGATACTTGTTTGGTTATCAGTTCTGGATCACAGTCCAGTTCATCTCAAAGCTGAATGGGGTTGTACAGACCAGTCACCTTGTTCCACAACAAGCTGGGAAAACCATTTATTTGTGGAGCTGCTTTGTGTCATGTTGAAACAGGAAGTGGATAAAAAATAAACTGTTGCCACAAAGATGGAAACACACCGTTGTCCAGAATATCATTGAATGATGCAGCATTAAAATTTTCCTTCATTGGAACTACATCACTAGCTAACAGCACGTCGCTTTCACCACTAGCATGCTGATCAACGCACCAAGCAACAACCAAACTAACGATTAATCCATTTGTTTTTTTGGTCTATAAAATGTCAGAAATGGTGGAAAATGTTGATCCGTGTTTCCCAAAGCCCAAGATGATCCACAAATGTCCTGTTTAGTCCACAACTCAAATATATTCAGGTTACTGTCATTGAGAAGCAAAGAAACTAGAAATAAATGACTTTTTTTTATTAAAATGACAACTACTTGATTAATCGTTGCAGCTCTGAAGCTTACTAACCGCATCCGCATGCTGCCTGAACCACTAAATAAACCAAACGACAAACTAAAAGGATGCCTAAAGGGGTGTCCACATACTTTTGGTGCTGGGATTTTTTACCTCGATTCTATTCGATACTCTGGGTCCTTCAGATCTTCTTGGTTGGAGCCTGTTGCTGGTTGCGCTGACAGCTGCTGCTCTTCATCGTCACCATTACCCTCGTCATCATCACCGTACCTCAGGAGGCCCAGGCTCCCAGGGTCCTCCACACCTAGAACCCGATGAAGGCATCAATTGTATTTATTTTAGGGTGTATGGTGGCGGAAACATGTCCAGTACAACAGCACAACATAGTCAGTATAAGGTGAAACACATGGAGTCCAGGAATGTCCTGATTTATTTTAGCCACTTCTAGAAAGCCGTAGTTTTTCCAGTAAAAACATCGGATGGTGCCAGCTTCTCACATTTATGCTGCTTTCCGCTCTGAGTACTGTTACTTTTCATACTTTAAATACATATTCATGATTATACGTACATACTTTTACTAAAGTAAAAATTTAAAAGCAGGAGTTTTACTTCTAACAGCGTATTTTCACAGTGTGGTGTCAATACTTTTACTACTAAAGCATTCAAATACTCTCTGCAACCACTGATGAGCACTTTTGATTAAGAGGACTGAGCTTTTTCTAAAACCTAACATTTCACCAATTCTTCTATGTGACTCAGTCTTAAGTTTGTTTTTCTCATATGGTAACACCTTTAATAGGAGGAGTGTAAACCCACCTGACTGATGCGTCTGCTGCTGCTCCTCCTCACTCACAACAGCCTCATGGCCTTCTGGCTCTGGGATCAAGTATTCTGTTTTCAATCAGAAGTAAAAGAAACTCATATAAAAAAAATGTAGTTCTCTAAAACCGCCGCTACAGCCGAAATCCACCTGTGTTTTCATAACTTCAGACATCGTACAGAACCAGGCATTTGTAATCAAAGTCGGCAAACTCTCTTGAGTTATGTCCCATGAACTAAGGTGAAAATTGATTTCATTTGCACCATTAAGTAACACTTTTTATATGCCGATTTGTAAGTCACATCATGAAAATGTGTGTAAGTTTTCACTTTATGTTCTCAGGAGTCTGCAGGTTTGTCAGCGAGCACAGAAACTTAAAATGAGCAGTTTTTTAAATGAAGTTCCACAATTTAAACTAACATAGTGTTTGTGACTGTGTAACTTAACGACGTTATTTATTATTGTAATAATTGAGCCACTGGCCTCTTCTCTCTAGTTTGACCCGAGGCTGCAGCACCGCCTCCAGCTGCCTCCTCTGCCGGTCGATCTCCTGCCTCAGACCCGAAGCCTCCTCCTCGTACCCGGCTACGGTTCTCTCCACGACCGCGAAGATTTCCTGCGCGGCTGTTGTCAGTTTCTCTGCGACGATCCCTCTCAGGATCTCCGTCTTGGACATGTTATTGAGGCTGTCGAGAGTCCCCGAGCCGCTGCTGTTCCTCTCCATCCAGTATAACATCTTTAAATTCTTCTCGCAGCACAATAACTTTGCAGGTTCGCGCGGAAGTTGTGGTTCCGGGTTTTGGGCGCAGCGACCATTTCTTTCCCGGCGAGACACGAAAGCAAAGCGGGATGTTTGGAAGGTGCTCACACCAAAATTTGTATTTAGTTAATTATATATAACAAGATGTCTATTTAGTACACTACATTTATCTGACAGGTTTAATTATTTTCAGACGCGATTGTGCAATTCTTCATATCCTTCCTGTATGCATCTGAACATGTAGTGATTTTCAGTGTTTGTGTATTTTTACTTTTAAGACTTAAAGTATATAGTACCGATAATACTTACATACTTTAAAGTAAGGATTTGAATGCAGGACTTTCACATTGGAGTATTTTCATAGTTCTCATTTGAATACATTTATTTTAACCTTCTTTATTGTTCGGGAAATTGACTATATAAAAAAAACACATTGATATTATGACTTCACCATTGGTTTTGTGAGGAAACTTTCAGCACTTGAGTGAATGTAATATATAAAAAATATAATATTTCTGGCTAGTACATAATATTCTTTATAATTTAAAAATATGCTATATTGTTTTATGGTTATTATTTTGCGCTGTCCACCTTAGCTGTAGTACTGATATACTGCCCTACACATGCAGACAGCAGTAACTACAAAAGCACGTTTACTCAGGAGTCAGAAGGACTCGAGATTTCTGGAAAATGAAAAACGTCAAGAATCTAGCTTGGGGTCACAACAACAAGACGAGACAATATGTTCACATTATTTTGAAGAAATATTCGATGCTGAAATATATTAAAATATATATTCTATATATATATATATATAGAAAATTCTGAGCATTAATCACATAATTTCCTGCATTCTGGAGACTATTTCTGCAGCAATTCATGGAAAAGCCTTTATTTATATAAAGGGAAACACAATCCAGGTGGCACGTGACAATTCAAAATATAAATATATAAAGGAAGATAATGCAGCAATCAGAAGCTTGTTTTCTTTTAGCTTCAGTTATTTTTTGGGACAATGCACAATTCTTTCTTCTATTGCATAGCGTGTTTTCCTGTTGTGCAAATAAACCTTTCTCAGAGCATTTTCATGTGTTAGTTATCATTTATTGTTGCAACCTCGATTTACTGGTCACTGTTAAGAACATGTCTCTCCTTCACAAACTGAGTAACCTTGGCGTAGTACTGGACAATCAAACTGCGCTGGACAGCCAACATCACCGCAGTTTTCCAATCTGGCAGAATTGCTTTCTACAAAATCCGGTCCTTGCACTTGGTCCAAATCCTCATCATATCCTGCCTCGACTACTGCAAGTTGCTTCTTGCTGGACTCCCTGCCTCTGCAATACAATTTTTGCATCTTGTGTTCAATCTACCAATGTTCTCATGATCCCCTCTTCCATGACCTCCACTAGCTCTCTGTAGCAGCTTGATTTAAACTAAGACTGAAAAGTGCACAGAATATTCAGAATATTTAGACCTGTTTGTAAGACTCTACAATAAGCAGATTAATGGTAACAGGTGAGGTGTCATGATTGGATATAAAAGTAGCATCTGCCAAAGGCTGAGTCCTTGCAAGTAAGGATGGGTTATGGCTCACCTCTGTGTGCCAAAATACGTGAGAAAATTGTTAGTTCAAAGAATTTTTTTGTCAACACAAGATTGCAGAGAATTTAGGTCTTTCTAAATCAACAGTGCACAACGCTGTGAAAAGATTCAGGGAATTTGGAGACATCTCGGTGCATAAAGCGCAAGGTCGGAAAATAACTCCAAAGTGTATAAAAATAAATGCTTAAGCCTATCAGGTGATGTGTATTTGTGTGATGAGGCAGGGTGTAGCCTACAGAGATCAACACCCTGTGTATTAGGCAGCTTCCTTACCTCAGGCAAAATGACACTCTTGAAATAGCTAAACTTTTGAGACGTGACCACCAGACGATCAAACAATTTGTTGCAAAAAGTGAAAATTAACTGTGAAATATTTCAGTTTCTTGATCTGTTCACGATCAACTTTCCACAGCCACAGCCTCCCAAATACTGTTCAAAGGGGTGTTTTGTCTTCCCTGACTGTAAATCTCACATTTGAGAAGGGCCCACAAGTTCTCAAAAAGATTCAAGTCAGGTGAGGAAAGACGTTGGGTCATTATTCTGGCACCTTGGAAGCCCTTACTGGCTAAGCAGTAGCTTGTACCACTGCTTGAAGAAAGTATCGTCCAGAAACTAGCAAGAGGTGTGGGAGTTGAGTTTCAGTCAATCTTCAACCCGAAAAAGTTCCAACTATCTCATTCTTCGTGACAGCAGCCCACACCTGTACCCCCCCCTCCAACCTGCTGGCGCCTCAGTCGAAGTGGTGCCCTGTGACCATCAGTGATCCAGCCACGGGTCCATCAAGAGTCACTCTAATTTCATGTCCATAAAACATTTGAAAAATCTGCCTTCGGGTATTTTTTTGCCCAATCTTGACGCTTCATTTTGTAAATCCTGTTCAGCAGTGGTCGTCTTTTGGCCTTCCTGACCGTGGCCATGTCTCTTGCGCTTGGCGCCTTGTACTTCCGGACACTCCAGGTAGGTTTCACTTCTGGAATATGGTGGCACTTTCGGGCCCCAGTTGACTATTAGCAACAAAACATTTGATTGCCCGGTGGTCATGCCTCAACAGTTTAGCTATTTCAAGAGTGTTGCATCGATCTGAATGCAATTTCATAAATTTTGACTTTGCCATGCTAGTTAAATCTCTTTTTTGGCTCATTTTGGCTCAGGAAAAGAGGCTGCCTAAAAATTAAACACACATTGATTTAGATTGTTGATCTCCTTAGGCCACATCCTCCCTCAGTACACAAATACACATCACCTGATATGATATGGAGTTGGAAAGTATACATAAAACTTATGATACGGTCAAATTAGTGACTTGCCTAACAATTGTTCACGCAGTGTTTGGGGATTTTAGAGAGACATATATTGCCATTAAGGCGAAGTCTCTTCCTGGGACATCCATGCTTATTTCAGCGGGAGAATACCAGCATGGCTATGTGAACACAGTGTCTTTGCTTGACTGGCTGTCCAGATCGCTCTCCTATTGAAAATGTACAGTGCATCATGAAGACGAGAATCAGACAACGGCGAGCAAAAACAGTTAAGCATCTGAAGTTGTGTATCAAGCAAGAATGGACGATTGCTATTCCAACTGCAAAACTGGCACAATTAGTATGTTCACTTTCCAAACAATTAGAAAGTGTTATTAAAAGAAAATGTGAGGTAAAACAATGGTTAACAAGCCTCTGTCCCAACTTTTGTTGAGTGGGTTGCAGGCATAAAATTCTAACTTTGTTTATATTTAAAAAACTAATACGCTGGTCAGTAAAAGGCAGAAGGATGAATGAGAGAGTGAGAATCAGATGGGGGAGAGATGATGGCAATAGTGTGTGTGTGTGTGTGTGTGTGTGTGTGTGTGTGTGTGTGTGTGTGTGTGTGTGTGTGTGTGTGTGTGTGTGTGTGTGTGTGTGTGTGTGTGTGTGTGTGTGAGAGAGAGAGTAGGCCTAAGCTAACTAAAATTTTATTATTTGTTTTTAACTTTGTTAGGGCTAGGTTAGTATATCCTAAGCGCAGAAGCTAAAAGAGGCGAGGACACTGGAGTTAGAAGAAATGAACATTTATTGCAGGGTTGAAGGGATGAGATATTGAACTGGGGAAAAGCAACGCAGAGTTAAGACTAGTCGGGCTGGGCTCCGGACAGAGTGACCACAGGCCGCCCCGACAGTAATTTATCTGTCTGAATACATCCTTACAACAGGGAATAAAATTCATACGTCAGAGTCATTGTCCATATTCTTGAGATCACGGGATGTCTTCTCCCCTGTGAAAAGAGGTGGGGAAAAGAAGCAGCCCAGAGTCGCATCACACCAACCTTCTTTCTGGAGTTGTGGACATCTGTAACTAGTTTAGTTCCTGTATCAAAATCATCATGGGGAAATAAAACTTAACATTCTTCAGATAACACTAATTAAACGTAGGATATCAACTAAAGTACATTTGACTCTGAACGGCAACATTGGTATCTTGTTCCCTGTATGGATTATTAATTAAGTCCAGATCTTCCAGAGGACGGATGAGAGACCATCATGCAGCCCTCTAAAATGGGAAAACTTTGATGCTAGTTTTCTGTGCTGTGGACATATTCGGTCAATTCAGGTTTTCTTCCCCCTGGTGGCTCTTCATGTGTGTTTTCAGACAGTGGCCCTGAGTGAAGGTTTTGTCGCAGACGGTGCACTGGTACGGTCTCTCTCCGTTGTGGGTCCTCATGTGTGCCGCCAGATTGCCTTTGTGAGAGCACGCTTTCCCACAAACCCCACAGACAGACAGTTTGATGCCCCGGTGGCTCCTCACGTGGCTGTTCAGGTGAGTCTTGCGTTTAAAACGGCGGCCGCACTCTGAGCAGCCGTACGGCGCCTCGCTGGTGTGCACACGCATGTGCACGTTCAGATCCCCCTTGGACATGAAGCCTTTGCTACATATGCTGCAGGTGAACGGCTTCTCGTTGCTGTGTGTTCCCATGTGAGCTGTTAAACTGTGATTTGTCACAAAGGTCTTGCAGCAGATGTGGCAGACGTACGGCCGGTCTCTGGAGTTGTGGATCTTCTTGTGTGCCTTTAACGTTTTGGGAAGTTTGAAACGCTTCCCGCAGACCACACAGCCGTAACGTCTCTCCCCCGAGTGAGTCAACTTGTGGCAAGTTAATGATGTCCAGCTGGCCAAAGATTTACCACAAACATTGCAGTGGTACTTGTCTCTACCTGCGTGCATCTTGATGTGAACTTTGAGCTGCGTCTTTAGACCAAACGCCTTCAGGCAAATATCACACTTGTGTGGTTTATCCGCCACATGGACCCAACGGTGAACACACAAAGTGGACAATCGACCAAAGGTTTTGTGGCAAACGTCACATTTAAACGGTCTGTCTCCTGTGTGTAGAGTGATGTGGGAGTTGAGGCTAGTTTTGGTGAGGAAAGATTTCCCACAAAATGAACATTCGTGAGTTTTTTGATACTTTCTAAGATGTCCCTTTAACTCTTCTACAGATTCAAACTGCTCTCCACACACTCCACAAACAAGCTGTGATTTCTCAACGTGACTCCAGGCGTGACTGATCAAACTGCCCAGGTTCCTGTACCAAACTCCACAGACTTTACAGGGCGTTTTATTGCTCCCAATCAACTGCCCCTTCACACCAGACAAATTGGACTCTTTCTTCCTCCTCTTCTTTGGCGACTGCAGCTCAGGATCTGGTTTCCATTCCTCATCCTCAAAAGCCTCATCTCCATCTTTGTCATCGTCATCACTGGAGTACACTTGGCTCTCAGCAGCATCTTCATCATCAGCTTCCTCCGTTTCCATGTCTTGTTGTTGTGATGTTGAGCTGCTGGTCTGAACATCCACTTTGTCACCTTCCACGTGTTGAACAGAGCAGCTGTGGAAAAAACAAAAAATACATTTATTAAACTTTTGTGCATAAGTATGTTTGAGATGTGGTGTGAAAGAGTCGGACATCCTCTGGACCATATGTGAACAAGAAATAAAGCATCATATGACAAGTTTCGCTGTGGAGTTTATAGGTTCTCTTGAAGCACCTTGGAGACATTTTGTTTCTCGTTCACAGAGGGAAGAAGACAACTGCCAGATACACATGGATGTTAACAATGCTGGATTTACAATGGACAGCCTAAGTCACTCGCTTCTGCTTCTGGCCCATGGGACCTTATACATGTGCACTCCAAATGTAGGTGCTGATAGCTTAATTGCCTTCTCAGAAACAAGTGATAGAAACACTCAAAGCGGGTCAGACTGTTTGTTGCCTTCAGTCTGGCAGTCAGCCACAGATGGAGTGGATGTGCTAGGAGACAATTCAGCATCTGCAAACATCGATGTCTTTCTCTGACACTTTAAAATGCTTCCACACTGCCGACCTGTCAATGTAATTGTTCGGTAAAATTTAAATCGGTCTTTTGACGTATTAGGCCTAACACCGAAAGTGCTTTTTTGTTTGCTATTTTGGGCCGATTAATTTCGGTGGCCGAACATTCGGTGCATCCCTAATAATTAAACTCGTGGGCAGGTAATTTCATCATTGGTTTCATCCCTACGCCAAATATTGAAATTCTGACTCATGACTCCAAAGCACCTGCTGCCATTTGTCTGCACTCCAGTTCCTGTGTTTCTATGCATTGTTCAGTCGTTTGGCCTTGTTTCCACGTCGGAAGTTTGGCTTTTTGGACGCAAGTCTTCCATGGAGCCCACTTCTGATCAGACTGGGTGTATCAGGGTCCCATTGTTTTGTGCAGCTCTGAGCCGATGGCACTGCTGGACTTTTTATCATTGAAGGGGAGTAAACATGATGTGCCTTTTATCTGCTGCAGTTAAGTATCTTTGGCCGAATACTGCATCTATGGTCCTCAGCTTTGTCCATTTCTTGTGCTTCTTCAAAAGAGTTTGGACAACACATCTGGAACCCCGGTCTGCCTTGAATTTTCTGCTTGGGAGATACCTTGTTGGACATTAAACCTACCTTGTGTCGTGTTGCTGCCATGGTGTATGACCTTTGATCATCAACTGTCTTCAGCAGTCTCACTTTGTTAGTTGAGTCTTGCTGTTCCTCAGCCAGTGTAATTCCTCCTACAGAGCTGTTTCTGTTTCAGTTAATGATTGTGTTTGAGTCTACATATTGAATTGGTGATCCTTAGCACCCGTTTGGTCTAAGTGTTTCATCATACACCTGACGATACGCCTACACAGTGCCTGACTTTGTACCTAGAACAACTGTTGCGGTTGTAAAGGCAAAGGGTGGTCACACCAAATATTAATTTGATTGAGATTATTCTTCTGTTCACTATATATTTTGTTAGTTGACAAATGTAATCTATTAACATGTATTGTAGAACGATAATGGGTGTAGGGTGAGCTCAGGGTTGAAATTTTCTTTTGACTGCATTTTTTTTCTTAATGGGGCATTTATCCAACGAAGGTTAAAGTCAAGGGCAACTGGACTTGGTTGAAGATACTAGAAGGCCTTTTCGTCCCTCATCCAAAGGACTTCTTCAGTTCTGACTGACTGGCAGGGAAACTCAGCTATGGGTGATCGATACCGCTGGTTCGTTAGTGTTCCTGGTTGCTGTAACGACAGTCGTTAGGACTACTGGTGGCCAAGACTGAACGATCATTGTTAGTATCTTCACCTGAGGCCAATAGGTTAAGTTTGTTGAGTTTCCTGGGAAGTGATGAAAGGACAGCATTGTAAGTGGGGGATAAGTGGTGGCGTAGACCCCCTCCTCTGTTCAATGACGGCTTCTCAACCCTGGTGTAGATGCCTTCCTTGACACCTCTTTCAAACCATCCATCTTCTCTGTCTAAAATGTGCACCTGGTGGTCCTCAAACGAGTGTCCTCTGTCCTTCAGATGTAAGTAGACTGCAGAGTCTTGACCTGAGAAGTTGGCCCTTCTGTGTTGAGCCATGCGTTTGTGCAGTGGTTGTTTAGTCTCCCCAATATACAGGTCTGTGCATTCCTCACTGCATTGGACCGCATACACTAGATAGCTTTTCTTGTGTTTGGGTGTGCGGTCTTTGGGGTGTACCAGCATCTGTCTTAGTGTGTTCTTGGGTTTAAAAAACACAGGGATGTTGTGTTTGTTGAAAATCCTCCTGAGTTTCTCTGATACTCCAGACACATATGGAATCACAATGTTGTTGCGTTTGACCTTCTTTTCCTCCTCCCCTGTAGTTTTGTTCTTCTTGGATCTTCTGGCTGTTTTCACAAAGGTCCATTTAGGGTATCCACAGGCTGTAAGTGCCCCCTTCAGGTGGTTCTGTTCCTTCTCTCTGGCTTGGGCGCTTGTTGGTATGTTTTCTGCTCTGTGGTGCAGTGTTCTCATGACCCCTAGCTTGTGCTCCAGTGGGTGGTGGGAATCGAACAGTAGGTTTTGGTCTGTGTGTGTGGGTTTTCTGTAAACACCAATCTGCAGGCTCCTGTCCTCTTCAATGTGTACAGCGCAGTCCAGGAAGGCCAAACTGTTGTTGTGAACATCTTCTCGTGTGAACTTGATGTTACTGTCCACAGAGTTGATGTGTTCTGTGAAGGCTTGCACTTCCTGGCTTTTAATTTTGACCCAGGTGTCGTCACATATCTGTACCAGTGGCTCGGTGCTGTTCCTCTGAAGGAGTTGAGTCCACTTCTTCCATGTAGATGTTTGCCACAATCGGGGATACCGGTGAGCCCATGGCACAGCCATGCTTCTGTCTGTAGAATCCACCGTTGTACTGGAAGTAGGTGGTGTTTAGACAGAGGTCGAGTAATTTACAGATCTGGTCAGGGCTGAGGCTAGTTCTGTTGTCCAGGGTGTTGTCTTGTGTTAGCCGTTTCCTAACGGTTTCTACTGCCTCTATGGTGGGGATGCAGGTGAACAAAGAAGTCACGTGGTTTCATCTGGATCCAGTCCTCGAACTTTGTTTACAAAGTCAATAGAGTTTTGGACGTGGTGAGGCGTGTTTCCCACCAAAGGAGCTAAGATGGTAGAAATGTGTTTGGCAATGTTGTAGGTGACCGAGTTGATGCTGCTGATAATCGGCCTGAGTGGGGCTCCTTCTTTGTGTATCTTGGGTAGTCCATAAATGCATGGAATGGCTTCTCCAGGATACAGACGGTAATATTGTTCACGGGTGATGGTGTTGTCCTTCTGTAACTGTTGTAGACATTCTATGACCTTTTTCTTGTATCCGCTGGTTGGGTCTCGTCTCAGTGTCTTATATGTGTTTGTGTCCATTAGTAGTGTGTTGACTTTGTTCTGGTAGTCCGTTGTGTTAAGGACTACAGTGCATCTTCCTTTGTCAGCAGGTAGGATAGTGATGTTTTGATCCTTGCTCAGAGATGTCACAGCCTTCCTTTCTTGGATGGTGAGGTTGGAAATTGCCCTTGACTTTAACCTTCGTTGGATAACTATGACCTGGATGACTGAGAATCTACATAGACAACAATGGTGCATTTGTGTCGTCTTGTGCCCTTGCCTTTTCTTTGCACAGATGTATGGACAAAACCGTTGAGTGGAACTGTTGTGCATCATTAAGAAATAGAAAATGAATAAGACAAACAGAGTGTAGGCAATGTAGCGTATTGTGTGTGTGTCATCAATTTTCTCACACGTTTAGCCTTTTGAAAGAATTCATACTTTTCCACACCTACCTGAAACCTTTGCACAGTGCTGGACCTGTGAGCAGATGTGTCGTTCTCTTTAGTTTGTAGTTACCTGGGGTTCATTTGGGTTTGATCAGCTGACGTGGAGGCAGAGCTGGATGGAGAATCATCTACAGGATCTTCACTGCTGCTCTGAGGATCCTTTTTGGTCTGTAACAGGGTTGTTTCCCAAAAAAAAACATCAAATAATTTCAAAATGACAAACGGGCAACACAGAAAGACATTCCGAAAATATTATTCTATAACAAATGTTAGCCTGCTGTCATTCAAATGCCGACAAGAAGAACTGCAACACCTTCATCAAACAACGCTTTGGGGAAAAAGCTGTAATTTTATGGATATTTTGCTTTAATAGCTACACTGATGATGCAAAGAGGACACTGTCCAGTGTAAAGACATACGGTTTGATGCTGTTTTTAGTCCAAAGTACCTTCAGTCGGATGAAGAGGTAAGTCTTTCTTGTGTCGATGAGCCGCTTGTAGATCTCCTCTGGTGTCAGTGTATTTATTGTCAGAGGCTGGAGCCTCCTCCTCCTTCCAAATGTGCAGAAGTCAAACTGTTTCTGATCAGCCAGCTGAGGCAATGTGGACCTCAGCAGGTCCAGGAAGTCCGCCTCCTGCAGGCCACGAGGACACTGCATCTCCTGTATTGGAAGTTTATAAAGCCCTAAAACAGACAACAATTTATTGTGAGGTTAATCTTTCCAACAGAATCCTCTACAGATAACTTATTAATTCACCACTAATCCGTCATAAAGTACTGGAAATGTACCAGTTTTAGAGAGCATATTTTCCTTCGAGTCCTCCAGGAGGCGAATCTTGAGATCTATGTGGCTCTGTGTGTCACTGATCTGAGGTTTGCTGGGTCTTTCAGACTGGCCTCTGGGGGAAATGGATCTGAATGATGAAGATTGTTAGCAGGTTAATAACAAAATAAGACAGCTTAGGGTTTACTGCAGTCGTATCACTTCTGACTTGTTGATTCTCACTTTAGTGAACATACTGTACTTGTTCATGGCTAAAGGTTTGTAGAAACTGGCACATTACATCAATATGGATGCTTCCCAAACCCAAACAAGGGTTTAATTCCACAGCCGAGGTGCCCGATAGCTGAAGGCTCTGGCTCCTGCTCCTATTCTACTTCTAGAGACGATGACGTCAGGTGGTGTTGTGTATTTGCTGTTATTTTCAGCATTTCATTGTTGCAATTATTATATGAGTATTCAAATTGTGTTCCAAAAGTTTAATCTTTCACTCTGTATAATAATGTATAATCATTTGCTTTAAACAAAGATAACTATTACTGGCAGTTTAAGCTCTAAGACAAGGATTTTACTTTCTGTGTCCGCGAAGGTTCGCTGGAACGAGTCCACCAAGCTGACTCCAACACGTAGTATAAACAGAAGTAGTCGGTGGTGTCCGCAGCTGTCCGTGTACCCGTCCGTTCCGAACTATATTCGAGGCTTTAGACGTCAAAGGTCACGGATCAAACGATCATGCTGTGGTTGTTAAGAGAAAAGGATCCAGGTGCAACAAGGGAGGATGCAATTATCTGTGAGCATACTTAGCATACTGACAGACTGAAGCAGGGGAATAGAGGAGTATGAGTAATTATCTGTAAACAAAATATAGGGAATACCCAACAAAGTAAACATCAGCGTCAAGAATGGGAGATAATGAGCATTTAATGCCAAGAATAGCGGTTCAAAGGAACCACCTGTGAGAGATGATGGCATTTTTGAGCCAAATGGGAAACTCCCTAAGATTCTCCTGAGGGAGGACACCCAGCTATGTGAAAAGTATCATACAACAAAGAATGATGGGTTTTGATAAAGTGATTGTGTAATCAGAAAATGCAGCTAAATTTAACATGTAAAATTAAAATTATTAACAAGAGTGAACACAGAGGAGGAGATCCTCTATGGAGGTAAAGCAACGGTGAAAACATAAGTGAAGATGTTTTTATTCGTTTGATAGGCTACGTCATTAACATGCCGGCATGCGGCGACTTTATGACACATACTGCTGATGGAGAAAGTCAGGGGAGCAGACACATACAGTGAGAGAGAGAGACAGAGAGAGGCGGGGCAAGCCGGTGTGTTTGCAGAGGGAGACCAGAGGTTTAGGTATTTGTGTGAGTGTGGGGAGAAGGTGCCTCAGATGTGTCGTTCTCTTTAGTTTGTAGTTACCTGGGGTTCATTTGGGTTTGATCAGCTGACGTGGAGGCAGAGCTGGATGGAGAATCATCTCGTTTCTCAACAGGATGACGGTCTTCACTGCTGCTCTGAGGATCCTCTTCAGTCTGTAACAGGGTTGTTCCCAAAAAATCAAACAATTTCAAAATGACAAAGGGGCAACACAGAAAGACGTTCAGAAAATATATTTCTGTAACAAATGTTACCCTGCTGTCATTTAAATGCCACAACAAACAAGAAGAACTGCAACACGTTAATTTCATGGATATTTTGCTTTAAAAACGACACTGATGATGCAAAGAGGACACTGTCCTGTGTAGACATACAGTTTCATGCTGTTTTTAGTCCAAAGTACCTTCAGTCGGATGAAGAGGTAAGTCTTTCGTGCGTCGATGAGCCGCTTGTAGATCTCCTCTGGTGTCAGTGTATTTACTGTCAGAGGCTGGGGCATCCTGCTCCTGCCAAATGTGCAGAAGTCAAACTGTTTCTGATCAGCCAGCTGAGGGAAGGTGGACCTCAGCAGGTCCAGGAAGTCCGTCTCCTGCAGGCCACGAGGACACTGCAGCTCCTGCACCGGAAGTTTATAAAGCCCTAAAACAGACAACAATTTATTGTGAGGATAAGTCAGTCTTTCCAACAGAAGCCTCTGTGCAGATAAAGTATTAATGAAGTCACTAATTAATCATTACGTATAAGTCTCTGAAATGTACCGCTTGTTGAGAGCACATTGATCTTTGAGTCTTCCAGGAAACGAATTTTGAGATCTATGTGGCTCTGTGTGTCACTGATCTGAGGTCTGCTGGCCCTTTTCCTGTCAGACCAGGCTGTGGGGGAAATGGACCTAGAGGATGAAGGTTGTTAGAAGGTTATTAAGTAAGACAGCTTAGTGTTTATTGCAGTTATATCACTTCTGACTATCGATTATCACTTTAGTGAACATACTGTACTTGTTCATGACTAAAAGTTTGTGGACACTGAAGCATCATTACACCCATGTGTGGTTCATCAATCTGCTGCTCCAACAGTCTCCACACTGCTGGTTTCAAGCTTTTACCAGATGTTGAACCAGCTGCAGGAATTTGTTCTCATTCAGACACCAGAGGTTTCAGTGAGGTCCAGCACTGCCAGATCGGGCTCACAGTCCAGTTCATGTCAAAGCTGGATGAAGTTGAGGTCAGAACTTTGTACAGGCCAGTCAAGTTTCTCCAACTGGGAAAACCAATAATTTATGGAGCTGCTTTGTGTTGTGGACAAACAAACTGTTGTCCAAAATATCATTGTATGATGTAGAATAAAAATTTCCTTTCATTTGGCTACAGTACTACATCACCAGCTAACAATGTGCTAGCTAATAACAACCACCTAACAACATGTTGCTATCACCAGCACCGTGCTGCTCAACAACCAAACAACCATCCTTAGCAACCATGCTAAGCTAATAAGCGTGCCAAGGCTACATTTAATGATTTTGCATTATCAATTAACACGTCCTCAAATGTCTAGTTTTGTCCACAACCCAAAATGTTTGAGTTTACTGTCATAGACGAGCAAATGAATTAGAATTGTTACTTTTTTATTAAATGAGGATTAACTAAATAACATCACCAGCTAAAAGCACGCAAGCAAAAGATACTAAGAGGCAGTTTACACCTGGCATTACAATGCGTTTTGGGTGATCGGATTATAATCCGACAGCACTTGACCACATGAAAGTAAAAAATGAAAGTGTAAAGAAATGTAAATGTAAAATGTGCTGCTCAGGGCAGCCGTGGTATTTTGGTGCACTCTGTTTGTTTTGTTTACGTTTGTTGACTTGCATTCTGCTGTGAGTTGAACCAGTTTTACTGTCACTTTGAATTACAATGGGCGAGACCTGACACCACCGCTTGGCCACAGTCCACCATCTCACCCCCCACCTCCTCCTCCATCACCATCTGGTATGCTGCTGCCACTGCCAGGGACGAGGGCAGGCTGCAGCGTATCATTATCACCGCAGCAAGAAGGTGATTGGTTGTCACCTTCCTTCTCTTTAGGACCTGTACGCCTCCAGGACTCCAGGACCCCTCCCACCCTGGACGCAAACTGTTTCAGACACAGACACTCACATACTTTTGCTTAAGCTGTGGTCTCAAGTGGTACTGAGATTTGTGACCTTGGTTTCATTTGATGGTCTGGGTCCTTCAGATCTTCTCGTCTGGGGCTCGTGGCTGGTGGTGCTGACAGCTGCTGCTCTTCCTCTCCACCGTCACCCTCTTCATCTTCATCATCATCATCACAATCATCATCATGCCACGGGCCCGGGCTCACACTGACCTCCACATCTGGACACGGATAGAGTCAAAGGTTGTAAAATAAAAAGTGCCTATAACAACTTCTCATACCCCACAATAACCAGCGAACAGTCACATTTAAGAAGACAGGCTTTTTATTCTCATAACAGTTTGTTAAACTACTAAACTATTAATTAACTATCCAAAATTATATAGTTAAATTTTATGTCGCTCAACTAATTGATCTTTTTTCATATCATTTATTGGAATTTTTTAATATTAAAAACGCTAAAAGTTAAATAAACACATAAAATAAAACTAAATATGCAGACTTGCCCAACAACTGAGTGTACTGCAATTAAAATCACTGTGTTCTTCAGACTTATTTATGTATTTATATAACTGTGCATTTACTCACATAACAATATATAATTAAATAACATCTTTAATACTAATACACATTTGATATATCTTACATAAAAGGTATTGTTGGCTGTTATTTAATTTAATTAATTTGATTGTATTTGTGGTTTTCAATATACAACTTATGTAAAATGACTTCAGCGTGCGTTTCAGTACATTTTGATACTGTGATAATAATTCACACGGTTTCCTCTCCATCTGACAGCTTTGGTTAGTTAAGTTAATTTATTTTACACACTAAACATAATAAGGACTATAATTTTCCCCTATTCTTCTAATTGACTCGTTCCTCATAATTTTTCCTTATTTTAGAAAATTGTTAAGACCCACCTGACTGCTGTGTCTGCTCCTCCTCCTCCTCCTCTTCTTCCAACCTCACAACAGTCTCATGGCCTTCCTGACGTGGGATCAGGTCTTCTGTTTTCAATCAGAAGCAAAAAGAAACTCAGTTGACTATTTCACAGATGTTCCATAAAAATGCTGCTATCAACAGCTGAAAGCCACTTGTGTTTTCATAACAGCTTCATCGAACAGAACCAGGCTTTGCCACGGTAATAACGAGAAAACAAAGTCCAGCAAGTTACGTCCCATTATTTGCAGGTCAACAGTAGGGACCATGAAACAACATTATTTACAACATTAAGTTTAACTTTTTCTGTGCCGATTTGTAAGTCACATCATGAAAATGTGTGTACGTTTTCATTCTATGTCCTCAGGAGTCTGCAGGTTTGTCAGCGAGCAAAGAAACTTTAAATTAGTAGTTTTTCCAATGCAGTTCCTGAAGTTTGTGACTGTGCAACTTAACAGCGTTATTTCTTCCTGCAATAACTGAGCCACTGACCTCTTCTCTGTAGTTTGACCCGAGGCTGCAGGACAGACTCCAGCTGCCTCCTCTGTCGGTCGATCTCCTGCCTCAGACCCGAAGCCTCCTCCTCGTACCCGGCTACGGTTCTCTCCACAACCGCGAAGATTTCCTGCGCGGCTGTTGTCAGTTTCTCGGTGACGATTTCTCTCAAGATCTCCGACTTAGACATGATACTGACGCTGTCGGGAATCCCCGAGCCGCCTTTGTTCCTCTTCATCCAGTAAATCATCTTTAATTTACTTTTACAGCTGTAACGTTGTGTTTTTAGGCGGAAGAACCTGCTCGATCGAGCGGCGTGGTTTTGGGTTTCGGTGCAGCTACAAATTGTGTCCGGCGAGACGCACAAACAAAGGAGTCCGTTCATTATTTACCGCCTCCTGTTGGTTAAAAATGTTGGTGCCGCTGTTTCTACACCACAATTGCATAAACACAACCATCCAGTGGATTAAATGAGTTAACTGTATTTATTAACGATTCGCTTATCAAATTTAAATTAGCTTTATTCGCATGAATGTCTAGCAACAATATTGCCAAAGCTACATATAAATTACATAAGGACAATGAATTTCATACATTTCATTAAATAAGGAAATAAAACAGTGAAAGTTGTGTTTGGGTGTTAATAAAACATATAAAATATACGTAAAAGTAAATATTAAAAATAAAAAATAAGCGTGTGTTAGAAAATGAAAATAATTTAATTAAAATAATAAATAAAATAGTAGGCGTGTACATGTATATGCGTGTATGTTTAAAAAATAATATAATAAAAATTTAAATAAAATAAATAGATAAAACCTTAAACGCGCGTGTGTGTGTGTGTATATTAATAGACAAAAACAAAATTTGGTTAATTTAAAAAAAATCTCTATCAATGTGAGATTTAAAAACACAATTACTAAAATATCAAATAATCAAAATAATAATAATTTGAAAATTTGTACTATTACTATATTATTAGTAGTTAATAGTATAACTAGTATTATTTATTAGTCTAAGTTTCCAGTGGTTGTCCTGGAGTTTCTGTGATATAGATTTGAATTCGAGGTATATTTGTGAAAAGTTTGCAAAGTGTTTTTGTCTTTGTGTTTTATATTTGGGGCATGAGGTTAGAAAGTGCAGCTCTGTCTCTACCTGTCCCGTGTCACACTGGGAGCAGAGTCTCTCCTCTTGTGGTAGCCAGCTCTGTCTGTGGCGACCCTTTTCTGTGGCCAGGCTGTGTTCACTCAGTCTGTATGTTGTCAACATGTTTCTTAGTTTTTATTGTGCTCAGGTAATTTGCCAGTGTGAATTTTCTTTTTAGGGTCAGATAACATTGTAATTTACTTTGTGTTTTGTTCATTTCATTTCAGTATTCAACATTTTTTCTTTCTGCTTGCTGATAATTTGGTTTGGCTTGAGTTGGTGTTGCTGTCCTGAGGCTGTTGGGAACTTGTTACTGCAGAGAGCCTCAGGACCAGCTGGCTGAGGGGACTCTGGTTTCAGCTCCTGGTATGTTAGGGCTTTGTGATGATATGTCTGGGGGTTAACTTATCTTTACTGTAACTTTAATGTCTTTTGCTTTTTCAGGATGATGATAAAAGGACAGATGAAGGTAATAAGCCCTACTGATGTAAATGGACATCCACACTTCTGTAAATAATGTAGCTACGTTTTCTACAGTCAAAACTGCAATACAAAATGTTGTCATTTGGAAATAACCCACTGTAAAACTATTTAAATGAGAACTATAAAACATCAACAGTAGACGCAGCAACCAGTAGTTCCCTTAATTTTTGCTAATCTATGATAGAAATACATTAATCAAAACTGGAAAAGAAATTGCGGTGACTGTACTGAGTGCAGCAGATCTGTAAATGATAACTAGCATCTCCCAACAAAACAAGCAACAAGCTGGAGGAAACATCAGAGAATGAAGAGAGGAAAGTGAGCGGGGAGGCTTTTCCACTCCCCAGCCTACTCCTGGCTAATAATAATAATAATATAATCTTTATTTGTAGAGCACTTTTCAAAAACAAGTTACAAAGTGCTTTAACAAGTGTAAAGAATAATACAAAAAAACAAGATAAGAGCATGAAAACATTGAAAAGACTAAAATACAGAATATAAAATTAGTAAAATACAATAAGATAAAAGGGATAAAATAAAGTCAAATAAGATCGGGAAAGGCTCTCCTATAAAAGTATGTTTTAAGAAGGGACTTAAAAGAGTTCACTGACTCAGCCGACCTGATTTCCTCGGGCAGGCTGTTCCAGAGCCTCGGGGCCCTGACAGCAAACGCTCTGTCCCCTTTAGTTTCAGTCGAGACTCTGGAACAGACAACAGACCTCTGCCCGAGGATCTCAAGGTACGTGCTGGTGCGTATGGGACTAAAAGGTCAGAAATATAACAAGGCGAGAGGCCATGAAGAGCTTTAAAAGTGATCAATAGAATTTAAAGTCAATTCTAAAACATACTGGGAGCCAGTGTAATGAAGCTAAAATAGGAGTGATGTGGTCATATTTCTTTGTTCTGGTTAAAAGCCTGGCAGCTGAGTTCTGGACAGTCTGGAGTCGATCAATAGATTTTTGGGTTAAACAGGTGAAAAGGCTGTTGCAATAATCCAGGCGTGATGAGATTATTGCAACAGCCTAATGTCTGGTCGTTGGAGAATAAAACTGAGGAAGTAAGTCTAATGCTGATTTCACACCAAAAGCAAAGTGAGCGTTCGGGACAGTGCGTTTACATACAAAGTCAATGCAAAGACACGGAGAGCCAAGATTTCCTGTTGGTGCAGATGGGGCGCTGTCGGCAACGCGGAGGCCTTCGTGTGAGTTGAAAATGTTCAGCTTGAGTGAGAAAGTCTCATGTCTCTGAGTCACCATAGCCTATCAGCGTCGAGATTATCCGGATGTCACCGACGGCTTCAGAGCGTTGTGTGCAGAGGACCAGGCAAAGCAGAGAAGTAAGACACCGCTGGCCGACGGAGAACTACTAAGCAGCGGGGAAAAGCCGAGGACAGAGCCAGGAGCAGCGCTGCAGCTTTTGAACAAATAAACAACTACGCCGTTTACTCGCAGGAGGAGCTCAGAGTAAAATGCTTCCGTGCACATCCAGCTCCAGTGTTGTTGTTAGTGTTGATTGGCACTCAGAGCTCTGTTGGAGAAAAGAAAGCGAGCAAGTTGAATTACCTGGTGAGTTCAGAAAATATACTGTACTTTACTGTTACTGTCCGTTACTTTATTTCAACTATCGTACTTTACTGTGAGCAAGTTAGCAAAACGTAGCCCTGATCGATCCAAACTCCATTCAGAAAACAAACATTTTAAAAGTTGTTGTCCTGCGGTCTTCCTGACAGACCTGACAAAGCATGAATTCATGTTTAACAAATCGGCATCACATTGTAGTTATTTCGGCATCAGTTTGATCTGTGTTTTTGCAATTAAATTCCAGCAAAATGTTGACTTTGTGTACATACAGCTGTAGTAAACGTGGGTTGTGTTTATTTGCATTACCGCGTTGTGTGTGAAAAATTGGCAGTAGTTCAACGATAAACCCGCGTCAAATCGACGGCGAAGGTGATGGCGTAGGCTATGGGGCTACGCAGAGGCTAAGTCGCCTGACGTGCACCTCCTCAAAACTGTAACTACACGTCAAGTCGACGCGGACCGTAAGCTCTGATTGGTCGGCTGGGTAGCCTTGCAATACCTCCGAGCCGACAGGAAGTACCCCGTGCTTTATAGTAACATTTACTAGAGGCCAAAACGGCGGCTTTAACATGGTGGATCAATATATTTGACCATCGCAACCCGAACGAAATGTGATCCACTCGGTCGGTAACATTTCAAAAGGCTACACCAGCCGCACGTTTACAGTTTTACCCTAATTCATGTTAGCGCAGCGCTAAACCGGAAGTTAGCTTGACCGGCAAAAGTCAACACAGTGGACGCTGTAGCGCTACTGCCGACTAGTGTTTGGGGCTGTAATTGCAGAATTACGGACACAACGACGCACATGTATAAATGCATGGCTACCTGCGGAGCCTACGGCGTAGACCCTACGGAGGAGTATAAATCAAGCTTTACAGTCAAGCAGTCATGGCAGACAGTGGAAGCGATACTGCCCCTAGCATTTCATGTATTGCACTGCATTTAGAAATAAGCAACCAGAAATGTTCTTAATACAAAGTCTGTTATCTCTCCCTTAAACAGCATTTCTGTAACGACGCGTCAACAATGAAACTTCACGTCCCCTCAAAATAACACATCACACAGCCATTAATGTCTAAACCGCTGGCAACAAAAATGATTTAGGGGTGTACTCACTTTTGTTGCCACCGGTTTAGACATTAATGGCTGTGTGATGTGTTATTTTGAGGGGACAGCAAATTTACACTGTTATACAAGCTGCACACTCACTACTTTACATTGTAGCAAAGTGTAATTGCTTCAGTGTTTTCACATGAAAAGATATAATCAAATATTTACAAAAATGTGAGGGGTGTACTCACTTTTGAGAGATACTGTAACAGGGAGAGAGGCCATGAAGAGCTTCAAAAGTAATCAATGAAAGTTCTAAAACATACATACAGTATCTATACAGTACATCACATACAGTGTTGGGAAGGTGACTTACCCTATTCAAATGCAACAGTATTATAACTATTTAAAGCAATGTAACCAACTACTTTTGATTACTTCTATTAATTTCTATTGAATGTCTTCAACTGTTCAACAAGTAACCAAGCCCAAGAGAAAGCACATAAACACCTGAAGAACGCACTTACAAGCTTGTTGATATCCAAACTTGACCATTGTGAAAAGAGCCACAAGATGCAAGAAGAACACCACAACACTACGGGTGATGAGGAAAAGAAGAGTAAACACAACAACATTGGGACACAGACTTAGGAAAATTGCAACAACAATTGCAACATGCTGCGATAGATACACAAGAAAAGCAATCTAGTATGCTGTCTACATACAGATACCGATGTCTGGTCTTTGGGTATCGGCTGATTCCGAGTAACAGATACCAATGAAAAACGAATATGATTTATTCCTCACTGTGAGGAAAAGACTAGGAATCATTCATCATGTGTAAGGAAACATTATGTAAGATTTGGCGCCTCTAAGTTACCATTTGTAATTCACAGTTGCGCATGTGCATTTGTTGTGATTCAAAAACTACTTTGCTAACACAGGCAAACATCAAGCATGCATAAAAAAATACAAGACACAGCAAACCAGCTAATAAGTTAATACCAACCAGTCCAACAGAAAGCTAACCGGCTTGGCATCTGTCTTGCTCTTTTAGCTCACGCCAACGAATAAAAGCCAGTCACATATTTACTATTACTGTCCAGTCACTTCCTCGCTTCCTCTGATGTCTTCTACGGTCTCTTTGCCGTCTATGCCATTATATTGTTACTGAGAATACTGAGCCAGCTTCTTACAAATAAATTACATTAATTACTTTTTGCTTCTTAGATTTTGCTTGCTAAAGACTCCAAAAATGCTACGTTAGCTCTCCTAGCAAAATGTTCTGGTCTACCACGCGCGTAACTGAAGTGAATAGATCAGCACATTCTCACAATACCTGATCCAGCAATTGCGGTTAGAATCAGACCAATAGCCGAAATCAATATCGGATCGGTGCATCCCTAAAAAAAACCCAGCAGACCTGTATTTTGGGGAAACTAAAGCACCACTACACAAACTCATCACAGAAGGGTCAATGATCAGGTTACCAATATTAGACACTCTTTCAAGGAAAACAATGTTTATACCCATGGACAGGGAGAACAAATGGTGAAATGAAACAACGAAGGAAGCTATCTAAACCAAAATAGAGAGGCCATCTCTCAACAGGGGAGGATGTCTGCGACTAGAGGACTTTTGGGGCTGATCGCTGGAAGCAGTATTGGCCAATACCGATCACCAGGTCTATTTGAAGCCTTGTATTGATCATGTAGCATTATATATTTAGTTGACTCTTATTAACAATCATGTAAATTAAGTTTTAGTCCAGATGATATGTGAAATTTTTTTATTTTTTCACAGAAGCATGAAACTTTGGTACACTTGTATTGTTTCGGGGCCCTGAATATTTTCAGAAACGGAGCCTCAACTTATTGACTGAAAGGTTATTTCTGCCTCAAAATGACTTTATTTCATTCAGGCTGCAATCACATTTTGGCAAAACTTCAGATTAACACTTATTAAACATGGTATATCAGTTAAAGTACATTTGACTCTGAACAACAACATTGGCATCTTGTTTTCCTTGGTAATCCTGTATGGATTATTGATGAAATCCAAGTGGAGTCACATTTAAGAAGGGTTAGGCCCCGATCAGACAGAAAGAGCTTTGCAGGTTCACAAACGCGAGGTGCACAGCAGGCCTTTTTTTGGTTGGATTTGAAAAGAGCAGTGCGCCGCGTTTTATTATGATGCTAGGCAACCACTGAAACAGCTGTCTTGGTTTTTCAATTCTGTGCGCTCGAGCGCGAGGCACCCAGGACGCATAAACAGCACGCAGAACGCTCACTGCCAATAGAATACAGTTAAAAAACAGCGTCTCCACTTCATAAAAACGCGTTCTGTCTGATCAGGCTCCAACATCATGCAGCCCTCTAAAATGGGAAAACTTTGGTCAATTCAGGTTTTCTTCCCCTGGTGGATCTTCATGTGTGTTTTCAGACAGTGGCTCTGAGTGAAGGTTTTGTTGCAGACGGTGCACTTGTAAGGTCTTTCTCCGTTGTGGGTCCTCATGTGTGCCGCCAGGTGGTCTTTGCGAGAGATCGCTTTCCCACAAACCCACAGACAAACGCTTGATGCCCAGGTGGCTCCTCACGTGGTTGTTCAGGTGAGTCTTGCGTTTAAAACGGCGGCCGCATCTGAGCAGCCGTACGGCGCCTCACTGGTGTGCACACGCATGTGCGAGTTCAGATCCCCCTTGGACACGAAGCCTTGTGCTACATATGCTGCAGGTGAACGGCTTCTCGTTGCTGTGCGTTAGCATGTGAGCTGTTAAACTGTGATTCGTCACAAACGTCTTGCAGCAGATGTGGCAGAGGTACGGCCGGTCTCTGGAGGTGTGGACCTTCTCGTGCGACTTCAACCCACCGGGCAGTTTGAAACGCTTCCCACAAACTTCACAGCCGTAACGTCTTTCCTCAGAGTGAGTCAACTTGTGGCGAGTTAAAGATCGCAGGTCGGCCAAAGATTTACCACAAACATTGCAGTGGTACTTGTCTCTACCTGCGTGCATCTTGCTGTGAGCTCTGAGCTGCGTCTTTAGACCAAACGCCTTCGGGCAAATATCACACTTGTGTGGTTTATCAGCCCTGTGGACCCAACGGTGAACACTTAAGGTGGGCAATCGAGCAAAGGTTTTGTTGCAAACGTCACATTTAAACGGTCTGTCTCCTGTGTGTAGAGTGCTGTGGGAGTTGAGGCTAGTTTTGGTGAGGAAAGACTTTCCACAATATGAACAGTCGTTAGTTTTATGATCATTTCTGAAATGTCCCTTTAATCTTCCACAGATTCAAACTTCTCCACACACTCCACAAACAAGCAGTGGATCCTCAAAGTGACTCCAGGCGTGATTGATCAAACTGCCCAGTTTCCTGTACCAAACTCCACAGACTTTACAGGGCGTTTTATGCTACCAATCAACTGCCCCTTCACACCAGACAATTTAGACTCTTTCTTCCTCTCTTTGGCGACTGCAGCTCAGGATCTGGTTTCCAGTCGTCGTCTCCGTCGAACACCTCATCTCCATCTTTGTCTTCGTCATCACTGGAGTCCACTTGGCTCTCAGCAGCATCTTCATCATCAGCTTTCTCTGTTTCCATGTCCTGTTGTTGTGATGTTGATCTGCTGGACTGAACATCCACTTTGTCACCTTCCACATGTTGAACAGGGCAGCTGTGGAAAAAATGTAAACATTAATTAAACTTTAGTGCATAAGTATGTCTGAGATGTGGTGGAAATAGTCGGTTCATTTTTCTATAACAGCAAAGTACATTGAGTTTTGTATGAAAACCGTTCGATGACCCAATAACCAAACATGACCATATGTTGAAACACCAACTTTTAGCATTCCCTCTGTGGAATTACTGGATATGACTATATCTGACCACAAATGTATAGTTTTTAATGTTCTCATACTTCCTCACCAAAAATATTATAATATAAAAATGTGAGGGGTGTACTCACTTATGTGAGATACCTATATCTCTGCCTTTCAGTCACTACACACCAGCAGTCTCTTGAGATCTCAGTTCTTTAGTCTGTTCAGAGTCTTGACTGAAAACTAAAGGGACACAGCGTTTGCAATCAGGACCCCGAGGCCGCGTCAGTGAACTCCCTTCTTAAAA